TCCCTTTGAAATCAAAGTAATTATATATTTTTTTCCCTGGACAAACAAGAGAAGGCTTCAAGCCCCAGTTTGCAGAACTGATTCACACCATCATGAGGCAAGGCAGAAGAAATAACGCAACAAAGAGGTGCAGAGAAAGGGATCCTCCTTCGCAAAGACAAAAGGAGAAATCTCAGCTGACACCCTCAGATAGAAATGAAGCACACTTTCAACGTTAACAAGTTTGGCCTGCAGAATATAAGAGTAAACAGGACCAAATATATTTTCTGTGAATCTCTATCTATCTATCTAAAAAGCAATCATCTCTTTCTATTTTCTTGTTCCATTAGGGCTGTCTAATACGAGCTGCTCCACACGTGTCACTGTCATCACATTATCCTCAACTGGCAGCATCTGGAACCTTTTTTCTGCCACACCCCACACACCAGCACCGGTTGAATTCCATTCATTGAAATTAGCTATTAGTTATATTACAGACAGACAGCGTTTCAGCTCAGCAAACTTTTATAGCTCCAGGCTCTTTTCTCCAATATTGGCTTCCACTCAAGAAAAAAAAAAAGAGGGAGCAATTTAATCAAACGTGAGCGATCTAAACACCAGGGAGGGCGGATGTTAGATGGTTTCAACCGATGATCAAGAAGCTGGAAAGAGAAGTGTGTGATTCTGTTCCATTATTGGAGAGGAACTGTAGCTCTGCTAGTTCACTACTCGGGGGCATGGGAGGGAGTGCTATAGAAAGCCCTTGGTTTATGTGTCTGTCAATGTCATGTCTTTTCAGGATCACGGTTCAAGGCGAACAGCAAGGATAAAGGGGGGCAGGGAGGGGAACTGGTACATTGCTGAGAGGGTGCTGGTAGGTCAAAGAACCTGCAACTGAGTTGACGCTAGTGGATATTGTGCTCTTGAGTGAGGTGAAGGATGAAAAATAACATGGAGTGTTCCAATAGGACAGGGAAAGAGAGGTTTCAGAGTACAGTATGTGTTTCTGTGCAAAAAGCGGAGGTTCAGCTAAATGTTTTGGTTTTACTAAAGTTAACGTGCAAGACTTCATCGCTAACTTAATTAAGCTAACGTTAGCTCCACTTTTTATGTTAACAGATGACTAAAATAAGGCTGTAAATATACACCTGATAGTTACATATATGCTAATGTGCTAAAAGACTGAGGGTAAAGCTGCATGGCCCTGGAAAAAAAATCCGCCACCCTCATGTGGAAAAATCCAAACTTGACTGTTTGAGGGAGGGGTTTACTTTTACATTCTTATTACATCTATTATTGTTGCTTGCATGCTCTGGCATAAATCTGCACAGGTTTCCTCCGCTTGTGTCTCTATGACCTGTGAATTTGTTCAGTTAAAGGACCAGTGTGTAGGATTCAGAGGCATTTTGCGGTGAAGTTGCAAATTGCAACCAACTGAATACCACTGTAGAAGAAATTACGGTGACCACAAAACTCTATCTATCTATCTATCTATCTATCGCCCTATCTAGAGCCAGTGTTTGGTTTGTCCATTCTGGGTTACTGTAGAAAGATGGTGTTTGGGGGACTTCATAGAAAAGCACCTGCTCCCTCTATAGCTAAAAACATCCCATTCTAAGGTAACAAAAACGCAACAATTCTTATTTTTAGGTGATTATACACTAATGAAAACACACCTATCAATATCATGTTCCATTTCTGCCAATAGATCCTCCTAAATATTACACACTGGACCTATAAGTCTTTGCATATCCAGAAGTAAAGGAAAATTAATATTATAGGAGTGAGCTCTCCATTCCCATATTGTGACATTAAACAGTCTTGCAACCAATGTGCAATATTGTTATCTAATACTGTCTACAGGCTACAGACTGGGATGGATTTTTCTGGCTTATGTACAAAAACTGCAACTTTCCTTTTTCAGATTTTGCCTCCTAAATGGCAAACTAAGCAAACAAATCACACTGGTGTATAAGGGCATGGGAAAACCACTGATTCCAAGGATGTCTGAAAAATGTATTTGCAGTGCAGATCTCGGATAATTTTCTTTCAAAACTGCAACCACCCACAGGCTTCTAAAGCTCCAGCTGGCAAGCAATCCTGAGGAGAACAGATTCTACCCCAGCAGGGGCCATAGGGATGCAGCGGGAGAGAGTAAAAGAAGCTCATTCTGTTGATTAAATTTAGTTGATTTAGCTGCTTGGCTTTCTCCAGGGTGACTTGGAGCTCACAAATTATCAACTTTAAATGGTGGATCTTTACTGAGATGGTTCACATTTGCTACAGATAGAGTTTGTTTTAGTACAGTTGCTGAAATAATAATAATAATAAGATTCCACCCTCTGGTTAACACATTGCTTTTGTGATGGCTCTTTGAAACTGTTTTACTTTTCTGTCCAGCGGTTTTCACAACTGCAGTTCACAGGTATTGCACAGGTAATTGCTTTGCATAATTTCTATTATTGAGAATAGACATAACTATTAAAAGCTTTAACAATTCATGACAACACCATTTTATAAAGTTGAATGGCTTTTGTCAAAAACATTGAAATGCATATTTCTGTTTTTATAATGAAAGTGTTTTTTTGTACGCAACCAAACATTTTAAGACTAGTTTCCATATTGATGCCAGACACAAATAAGCATGTGAATAAAAAGAAGTAATGAAAATTCTGTCACTACTTACTCATATACTTTCAGCTTGTAACACTGGCTGTTCAAAAACAGAAACTCCCAATCTGTTCCATAGTCTATGGCCAGCTTCTTCCGGAGGTCGCTGAGGAAATCAAAATAAATATATTAGGTCACAAGAACACTTTGAGCCACTTTATTTGTTAATTAAGGAATTTAGTTGATTACGGATATTACGGATGTTACACCATGCAAGATTTTCGACAATTAACAGTTACAGTTGAAAGAATGGCATTCAAAAACAGACAGAAATTACAATAGTGGTATAGTTCCAAGCACAAAGAAAGGGATTCAAAATAAGCCTAAACATAAATTCCATTATAGTTTTGTAACAACAATCTGCTTTTAATATGTAATAAACAAGTTGTCTGGATGCAGGCCATTTGTTTTAAGTCCCTGACAAGTTGCTTTAATCACTTCTAGATGACTCCTAACTGTGCTGACAATGTAGCTTTATTTTCCTTGCTGCTTTAAGTGACTGACTTCTTGGATTGTGCGTTGATGAGGTGGCCCTTTAAAGCCCATTTCTATGCACTGTCTCCAATTATCTGAGCTGGTGAGGGCTGCTTTTCTTCACTAATCGCAAATAAGGGAAGGGAGTCCTATCTCTAACGGTGCACAGGCCCTTATTTCCATATTCATAACCCAGAATTGCTAATGGGGTTAAATGTTTAGGGAGGGTGATTTTTTCGCTTGAGGTTGATAAGGTAGGGCGGCATAGGGGGTCAGAGAAGCAATGCAGGTTGCGTAACTGTGTGTCCATGTGATTTTCTGCAGGGCAGGGGTCACAAAATTCATGCAGAGAGTCAATTTTTGTGCAAATTGCCCTTTACAACACGCTAAAGGAATAAAAGGTATGGACTAATAAGGATGATGCTTTAATTTTATGCTAGGTATGAAGACACAAATGCACTAGCACATCTCTATCTGCAAACTGACAAAGGACATGACCTGAAGAGCACAAGTGGGGGGATGCTCCAGCACACACAAATGAGTGAGTCATTTGACCAGAAGCAATTGAAGCAAGGTGGAAAATGAAGGAATAGAGCAACTGAAGTCATACCAGCTCCTTTTACCTCTTTTCCCCTCATGCAGGCATTTGTTTGGGGGGGAAAAAAATCTTGACCTTTTGGTAACTGCTAACTCTGTGGTTGGCTCTCCTACTGTAATGAACAGTTTGCAGGCCTAAGGGCCGCAGTAGCTACTTATCGGCTATTGCTGGCTGGCTCAGAGCGCTGTGAAAACATCTGAGAGGGAGCAAAAGCATGCAACAGGAATTCTCATCCAAACCTGCTCAGATTTTTTTCTTTTTCTCAGCTGTTGTGGAGTATGACTGTATGTTGTATGACTGTATGCTGTAATGTTAGGAAGAAATTAGAAGTTGAAACAAAGGCTACAGAATCAATTGAATGTCTTAATATCTTTAAAATGAGTATAACAAATTTTTAGGGGGTTCTGGATGGAAATGTAAGTACGTAGCTAATTTGTTATGACATTAAGTTATTTTTGTTCCTTTACTACAAAATAATTGCAATGTTTGCCACACTAATTAGTTCCATGTATGTCTTTAAAAATAGCACAAAGAGGTTTAGATAATTCATACCCAGGCAGACACTCTTCAGCTCAAAGTCAGTTGGAACAGGCACACTAGGCAACCAATAGCGTTTGTTTTTCTTCATTAAAATTAGCCTTAGGTATCACACAGTGCAAATTCATTACTGTGCAGCTTTCCTCACTACTTTAGCACAGAAGGATGGCGTCTATTTTAAGGCCTGGTTACATACCATGCCACCCTGCTTACAATACTGTAGCAACGTGAGAAGCAAATGCAGCGTCCACACGAAGTGCAAGCTGATTGGAGGATTTAGCCAAAAAAATATATGTGACAATGGAAGCAAACCCCTGCTTCTATTTCTTTGTTATTCCTCCCTTACCTTATTTCCATGTTGACTGTCTCATAGTCTTCTTCTGCCTTCTTCAGATTGGTAGCCTCCCACTCTGCAGCTAGACAAAACAAAAGGTCAGACGAATTAACAATGCGGAGTTGTTGCATCTCAACAGCTGCGTGTTGCCAAACAGTGGGCTCTTAATATAGGCTGTTATATCTAGGGACTGGGAGAGGAGCAAGGCTGCATATAAACAGAAAAATGTTATTTCCAGGTGTGGTAACTGCCGAAAGGGCCGCAAGCTTATTGGTCTCTTTGCACAGACAATTGTGTTAACCGAGACTGAGAGAAAAAAAAAAAAAGTCAGAGGTAGTGTGAGAGCAGCAGAGGTGTCCACAGCCATGATATGTTGTTGATATATCTCTCTTTGTCACACCAGCATGTATGACACCATGTCAGACTCCAGTGGAAAGTGAGATCTTCAGTCTTTCCATGTGATTGTGGCAGGTATAAAGAAACATAGCAACTCTTAGGAAAAGTCTAAATGTGCCATTTTGTTTGCATAGTTTGCCATTGCATGTGATGAACTGCAACATGAATTCTGAAAATAAGACACAATCCACACACAAGTCCGGTTTGTGGGTTTGCCTCTTTACTGTTTTATATCACTGTAAATTTGAAATCTTCGGGTTTAGGGCTGTTGGTCTGACAAAATAAAGAATTTGCAGATGGCTCGGAGAAACTTTTCACTGTTTTCTGATTATACTGATTATACTGATTAACCGATTACTCGACAAGTCATAAAAAATATTCAGATAATGGACAAATTAAGTAATGGTGACAATATTTTTTTAGTTAGAGTTAGTGTGAATTAACAGTGACAAAGGCGACGCCATGATTCTAAGTCTAAAGTGATATATCAAGTATCAAAAGAAATATCCAAAATAGTTAAAAGTTCCATGAAAGGAACATCCAAATTGTGTACATAACATGCCTTGAAGTCAGCGTGCAGGCATTACTCTTTCCATTGATGCTGATTTACACTTGCACCCATATGGGGTGTGCGTATAACAATGCTTCTTTAAATGAAAGCTGACATCCGATTAAGTTATCTGTTATGGATCACTCATCAAGAGAGACTGACACCGCAGTAGAACAGGACTAAACCGGAACAAAGGGGCTTAAAGAGAGATTATAGCAGACTGTAGTTTAATTGTCAACTGCTGGATCTGGTGGGAACTTATTGTGGACAGTCTAGTGGACAGGTTCATCTCTGTCGCTGAGGAAAGGCTCGCTGGGCGCCGTGGCAACAGAAAGCAATGCGGTAAGGACTGTGTGGGAAGCTGTCACAGCCCTGGCCTGAATACCAATTAGCATGTTCCTTGCATGTGGTCTCACCTGGTTGCCCATAAAGATACCCCCAACACAATTCCCCCAACACCTACAGTACGTCTTGCCGAACCGAGTGCAGATGTGGTGTGTCCAAGAGGCAAGCTGTGATTTCCCATGCTGTAATGGCTATTTTTATAGCACCAAGAAGAGGAGATCTGTCCCTAACCCACCCCCGATCCCCTCAAACTCCTTCATACACAGAAAAATGTGCTCTCCAGCCCTCTCTTGCATACTCTCAGATTCCCTCTGTTGGCCTATTTCTCTGTCTCTCTTTCTCGCAGACACACGCACACACACACACACCAATCATAAGGCTCAGCAATGACAAAAGGAGACGCAGAATCCCAAGTGGGTGACATTTGACCCCTTGTAGCAGCCCAGTCGTATATGGAGAGAGTGGTGATGGTAAGGGGGGAGCTGAGGAGGGAGAAAAAAGACTGAGAGAGCAGCCAGGCGTACAGAAGTACCCAGAGCAGGGAACACAGGGCGTGCAAAGCCTCTCGAATGGTCTCTGCACCAGTCAGGCCGACATAACCTGAGGCCGATGTACAGTATACCAAAAAGACCTCATGCTTATGGTCTAATGACTGTAGGGATTGGATTATCTGTCATACGGTCAATGGATGTCATGGCATCACAATCACAGCGAGCATAAATCAAACTGCTCTGGCCTGTTTTTTTTATGGACTCATGCTACAGCTTTTGTTAGTGTGCAAATTAAACCTAATCAACATAATGGCTCACTTCAACAATCAGTAACAATTATATTGTTGTCATTGTGTTATTACACTATAAAAAATCTACTTTCTCGACACGCATGTGGAAAATGTAAGACAAGAGATTGCAAGTTGAAGCTGACCGGTGGATTTTTCCTTTTCAGGAAGTGTACTGTACTTTCGCTTTTAGCACTAGACGCTATCAAGAGGGTTTCTAAATCACAGAGGCCACATGCAAAAATAGAAGAAGAGGAATGCCCTGTATAGTATATGCCGTCCTCTGTCAGAAATCTCCTGTGCATACATACCTTGAGCCGGAGACCGGAGATGCTCTGTTTACATGCGAATGGATCAATAGGCAAGGCAATCTCTCTGCAGCTCTAAGAAAAGAAGCCCAGGAGTCTGTGCAATGTTGCTTAACAAAACAAGGGCAATGCAGCAGGGCCCACCCTTGAACCTCACGCTCACTCAAGCAACAGACACCTTTAGCTAGATTACATCGACTGCAAGGCACATGTAGGAGTTTGCTTTGTTGTCTGTAAAAGCCTGCTCTTTAAAATAAAGATGGCATGCTCAAGCTGGCACGTTGGTTCCTATTCACTTTGCTTCATAACCTTTGCTATTCACCGCCATCCATCATCCACCTTTTTTCTTTTCATTTTGACTTCAACATTCTCCGCTCCTTCAATATTTCCAGCGTGAGCTCCTCAGAGTTTTCCTGTCACCCTCACCTCCCTCTCTCCAGCTCCATTTTCCCTCCGTTTCCCTCCTCGAATGACAAACTTGTTCTGACTGCATAGTGGGGAGTGGGGACGGCTAAAATATAGGTTATGGATTCCTGTAATGAAATGTTTATGGCAGGTTGTAACAATGAACAAGAGACCTTTCAGATACTGTCAACAGGGCTGGCGATAGCATTAATAGCCACCTGCTAGCATCACACACGACCGCCCAGAGGTGCAAATTACTCCTTTTTTCTTAAAAGAAGCTACGTTATCACAAATTAATTCAGCGGCGGTAATAAGAGAGGTGTTACATGATAGAAAAAATAATGAATGTTTGCATTTTAATATTCAACAGAATGTGTGCAAATACCAAGGATAGAAATCAAACAAACATTTTATTGAAATTCAGAGTTACACTTCCTTATGTTTCTCTCTTTATCCAACCAAATCTCACAAATGATTCTGAAACTCTAGCACAGGCTGCTGGGAGTTGAGGAGAGGTCAATCTCGCCCCCTGCATAATCGTTGTGTTGGAGTGTCTGATTGTATTAGGGTTGAGTGAATAACAGTAGCTGGCAGAAATAGCATCATGTTTTGAACTATCAGTGCAATTCATAGCCCTGTGACTGACTCAGTTTGTATTCATTCTCCCACACTCTCCTGCAACTCTCTTTTTATCCACAGCGGTTTGAAGGACAAGCGCAGCACCACGACTAGGACGCACTGAAATTAAGAATGGGTCCATTCACTGCACATCTGCCATTATTCAAATTATATAAGCCAATAATGAGAATGCCGAGCATCAGTGACCACATGATGTGATTTGATTATTAGAATGCATTCAGATGTTTCAATTGTAATGATTTGAGAAGAATGTTTCATTATCTTGTGCACATATATGTGTATTGTGTTTCCCTTCCACTAGTTTTGACTGACAAGGTCAATCACTCAGGCCATACTGGTTGCATGTAACAGTAAAGATCACGCATAAGGTACAGTGATACAGTGGAAACAATTAGCCAATTAATAAATTGACAGGACATTAACCAATGTATTTCTATATGTGGATCCCCATTAGCGCAACTATTAGCAACTACTTTTCCTGGAGTCCACAGAAGTAAACATTATGTCATAATGTGAAACAATTAAAAAGCCAAGGTAAAGGGAACAAAACAAAACTACCAAGAAATCCCCCCCAAAAAACACAATCATTCAACAAAAATAAATCTACTAGTGACCATAATAACAACAATGACAACAAATACCCAGTGAATGGTTAAGTGATCTGAAGAAATGTGAAACATTTCCTGTTTTCAGTGTCAGAAAAGTTTGATTTAGCTACTTTTTTCTATTTCATACTTTTGTAAATTTAATGTTTTTGGGTTCTCTTGGTACAGAACAAAACAAAATTGAACATGTAATCTTTGGTTCTAGGAAACTATGATGGGCTTTTTCTTTCTACTTTCTACATCTTTAAAAGAAATAGATGAATCAATACTTAAAATAAGCAACCCTAGTTTGACACTTTGGGAAATAAGCTTATTTGCATAATACCACCTTCATATTTGCATGTTAAATGTGAAGCTACAAACAGCAGCCGGTTATCTTAGATTAGCCTAAAGACTGCAAAAGGAGAAACAGCTAGGCTGGCTCTGCCTGAAAGTAACAAATCCGCCTACCAACACCTCTGAAGCTCACTAATTAACACACAGTGTTACACACACTATATCTCATTTGTTTCATCTGTACTAAATTGCATCATGCTGGACAATTTCTGCAATCCATTGTACTCGGAAAATGACCTCCAACATGGAAAAGTGCAACGGAATGGTCATTAGATCTGGTTCCATCTTTGCCGACATATTCTCACCTGACAACGCAGCAATACGGTTTGCATGAAGGACTTCCACTTGTAACAGAAGGTGCCATTGCTACTTTTACTTAAGTAAAAGATTTGTATACTTTCCCCACCACTAATCGTGTGTGTCTTCAAGAGTGTGAGAGAAGCAGATAAAAGCAGAGATACATTATACACGTTATATGTGAGTGTGTGAGAGAGGTGGCCATTCAAGCTAACCTCCCCATTAAAACAATTTCTACAACATTGTGTTATCGGCTGTGGTTCACACTTGTGAGCACGCTGTTGTATGTTACTTTAATGAGCAAAGATGAGCAAGACAGTTGTACGCCATTTCTCTTTGCTAATGGCACTATAGTAATTGATATAGGTCCTTAGTAGATGCTTTTGCAGTTCATAGACTTGCCATACAAACATCAGTTTGATT